ATCTGGACGACATATTAATCCAGTCGTCGTCCACCCGGTCCACCTTGTCGGACCTCGAACTGGTGGCAAAACTGCTCCAGGATCACGGGTTCTCGGTAAACTTTCCCAAGAGTCACTTGGTCCCCACAACAAGACTGCTACACCTCGGGGCCATCATAGACACAGTGGAGTGCCGGTATACCTATCTCAAGAATGCCGGAACAGCATAAGGGAGTCAGTTCTCCAATTACGCCGGTGCCGGTCAGTAACGGCCAGTCTTTCCCAATTGTTAGGGAAGATGATCTCAGCCATAGCAATCGTTCCGTGGTCCAGACTCCACTCCTGGGAACTACAATGGTTCATGTTCCCCTACCAGAGGCAGAACCTCAGTGCATCCCAACAAAGAGTAAGACTCCCACAAAGGTGTTGCGTTCCCTCGTGTGGTGGCTATCACCAGCCATGCTCAGAGGGTCATGCTTCAAAGAGCCGGACAGGTTAGTACTCACGACCGACGCCAGTCTGTTTGGCTGGGGAGCACACCTCCAGTCTCAGTGGGCACAGGGCCGTTGGTCCACATCGAATCTCCGGCACAACATAAACTGGCTCGAACTACGAGCCATCCATCTAGCCCTACGGCACTTCCGCAACCTAGTGGCACGGCGGCACATACTGGTCCTCACGGACAATGTGGCAACCAAGGCTCACGTAAATCGCCAAGGGGGCACCTGCTCTCGGACTCTATTGTCCGAGTCTCTCTTACTGGGATCCTGGGCAGAACAAAACCTGGCCTCCATCAAGGCCAATCATATTTCAGGGGAAGCGAACACTCAGGCCGATCTTCTGAGCAGGACAACGGTAGATCACTCAGAATGGTGTCTCCATCCGAGGGTCTTCAAAGAAATTTGTTAACGCTTCAGTCTCCCACTTGTAGACCTCTTCACGTCACTGTCTAATGCCCAGCTGACTCACTTCTTCTCCCGGTTCCCATCTGCAGGGGCAGAACAGACGGATGCTCTTCGGAGTCCATGGCCTCAGGGCCTGCTTTACACCTTTCCCCCTCTGCCTCTCCTCCCGGCGGTAATACGCAAACTTCTTTGGGAGCGAGCGGAGATACTCCTGGTGGCCCCGTATTGGCCAGGGAGACCCTGGTTTGCCGATCTGAGGAGCCTTTCCCTCATGAACCCTTGGCGGATTCCTCCGGAACGGGTCTCACTCAGCCAAGGAGTTATTCTCCATTCGGAACCCCAGTGGTTACAGTTAGCCATCTGGCACTTGAGCGCTCAATCTTAACAAGGGAGCTTTGCTCGCAAGGGGTCATCACTGTAATTCAGGCCTCCCGACGCCCTTCCACGAATTGAATATACGAGGCCACGTGGAAGAACTTTCAATCATGGTGCTCCAGCCGACATTTGTCCATCGAGGAACTTACGATTCCCAATATCTTGGATTACTTGTTAGACGGCCTGGAGAGGGGCTTGGCCCCAAACACATTACGCAGGCAGATTGCCACTCTTTCCACGGTCCTCACTTGTAACTCTGTGGAGTCATTGGGTCATCACCCTTTACTCCACTCATTCCTTAAAGGGGCTGCTAACACCCGATCTCCCACTGTGCACAGGTACCCTTCGTGGGAACTACCATGGGTTCTACGGGCGCTTACCAAGGCACCCTTTGAGCCCCTAAAGACCTGCGACATCCGCTACCTGTCCCACAAGGTGGCATTCTTGGTAGCAATTACGTCAGCATGACGTATCTCTGAATTGGCGGCGCTCTCAATCCAGGATGACCTGTGTGTTTTCCACAGGGATCGAGTGGTCCTTTGACTTGACCCTAACTTCATCCCGAAGGTCAATTCCTTATTTCATAGGTCACAGGAGATAGTGCTGCCGGATTTTTGCCCAAATCCATCGCACGCCCTGGAACGACAATGGCATACCTTGGATGTCCATAGAGCTCTTTGGTACTATATTTCACGGACAGCGGAATTCCGCAAATCAGGAGCCCTCTTTGTATCTTTCCACTCTTCCTCCAGGGGTCGGAAGGTTTCCTCTTCCACCATTGGTAGGTGGATTAGAGCATGCATCACCGGGGCATATCAGGCTGAGTCATTGCCGGTTCCAAGATGGGTTACAGCACACTCTGCACGAAGTGCAGCTACTTCTGCGGCATGGGCCACTCAAGCTTCCATTAAGGAAGTCTGCAGAGTAGTCACATGGGCTTCGCCATCTCCTTTCATTCGGCACTATAAAAGCAATAGGTTTTCCTCTGCAGAGGCCTCCTTTGGTAGGAGGGTTCTTCAGCAGGTTATACATCAAAGTGCCACACTGGACCAGTCTACTCCCCACCCTCAGGGACAGTAGGCTTTGGTATGTCCCATTGGTGGATTCTCCATCTCCAGTACTGGAGAAGGGGCGTTATCTTACCTGAACGCCTTTTCTCAGCACGGAGATGGAGAATCCACACCCGCCCTCGTAGGTCATCTAGGCCTAGGGTTAGTTAGTTTTGTGAGCCACGTCTTGCAGTCAGTCAATGGCTTCGCTCGCGTCAAGACTGGAATCTCTATGGTCCAGGACGGGCATGGCAACTTTGGCTGACTTGATCTGATTGGGCAGGAATACAGTCTAAACCCATTGGTGGATTCTCCATCTCTGTGCTGAGAAAAGGCGTTCATGTAAGACAACGCCCCTTCTCTGCCAAGACTGTTTCCACTCCTCAGATTCAGTCTTACAACATCCTATGCTTCTTTCCCTTCAAACAGCCATTGTGAACAGAGATTTGCATTGTTCATATCCCAAGAGAGCAGTAGTCCATATGGCACCAGAGTAAGGGTTTCTATGTTGCCTCCAAAGCATCTTTACCTCTTTCTGGATCCAAATATAGATTATGAGTACTCAGCAGTACTGACAGTTGCTCCCTCTGGTTGGCCAATTAGGGAGCATCAAAAAAGGCCCCTTGTTGACTTCCTCACCCAGTCTATCGCTGCCTTTCCTTTTACCACAATTGTTCACTGTGAGGCAAAAAATAAAAAGTTGTCAGCTGACTGGCTGACCCTGCAGCCCACTTATGAGGACACTGAAGCTTTAAAGCAGCTGGTCAGATGTGGGGTGGCAAGATCCGAAGAACTGAGTGATGGAGATTGGCAGGAGGTCCTAAACCTGAGAAACCAGCTTGCCCCTGAATTCAAAGGAGCTCCAGCAACACAAAACACAAGTTTTGCCATTTGATTTTTGGGACAACATGTGCTTGACTATTCAGCAAGGATGTTAAATGTGGGCAGAGGTAATTACTATGGGAACAGCAGTAGGGAAAGGCCTTGTCCCGTAGCTACATTATATTTTGCCTAGTTGGTCTTGAAATCTGATGTAAACCTTGTAGTGAAGACAGACTTTAAAAAAGCTACTTACAACCTGTCCTCAAAGTTAAAACTGCTGCCCCTCTCCTGGTCACCTGGTCACATTTCAAGCATTGGAAACCAGCTTGCAATTTATGTTCACATTTAGATTTATATTCAGTTGCAGCGTCCCATGGTTGCATGACCCCAATTTGCAATGTTTTTACTGGTTTCCAGTGTCAGAAAAATGATCATAAAATCAAGTCCAGTCAGTTGATTTACGACTGCAATGGCTTACAAGTGAAATTCTGGACTCCATTATAGTCATAAGTCAATGACTATCTATACTTTGCATTAAAGAATTAATGGACACATGATTGACATCAGAACATTTCAGTCTCCCAGGATTGTCCATTGCAGATCTTCGAGTGGCGTTTTGGAACAAAGAAACATTACAGCAACATCACAATGAATTGGACTACTGATGAATTCACATATATCAAAAAGTTTCAAAATATTCCAGACAGTTTCAACAAACAATACTTTTTTTAATGAGTTACAAATGTTAATTGATAAGCCAGTTATAATCTGTTTCACCTGCAACTTGCATCCACACAACTACCCTGTTTTATTTTCCCTTCCTTTCCCTCTCTGCTTCATCCCAGTTAATTCTACATCAGTTTAGGCATTCCGAGTTTGTGGTGAAGAAAGGGGCAGCTTAAAACGCTTTTGATGAAATGCATTGGTGGGAAAAGGTGCCGGCAAACCCTTTATGATTTTTGGTTCTTCAAAAGAAGAATTATGTACGGAATTGTGTAGAGGCAAAATGCATTCAGTGTTTCTGTGAAAGGCACCAAATTTGAGTGTGCCCTAGAAGAACGTGGGATTCAAATTCTGAGAAGGCAAAGGTACTCCAGATCTAATACGGTATGACATCCTTTCTGTGACTGTCACTGGCTCCTTAAAGGAGTTTCCTGGCAACACATTCCTAAGCAATGTATATATATATATTACATTGCCCCCAACAATCTGGATCCTCATTTTACCTACCTCGGAAGGATGGAAGGCTGAGTCAACCTTGAGCCGGTGAGATTTGAACCGCTGACCTGCTGAACACAGTCAGCTAAAGTGGCCTGCAGTACTGCACTCTAACTGCTGCGCCACCTCGGCTCATAGAGTTTGGACAGACTTGTAGCTACTGTAATGGTGGGAGTGTACTGTATTACTTCCTGCTCCTGGCTCAATTGGGCTTGGTACAATTTTGAACAAAGTTAAGGAAGTTTACCCCTAATATTTTTTTTTCTTCCGATATTTCAGCCCTTCTTTTTATGGTTATTGTCTTGGGGGAGAGTAAACACAGCCCAAGGCACAGCCCAAGGCACAGATACAGAAAGAACTTAGGCACTGAGGAGCTGGATAATATCCCCATATAGTGCAGAAAAGTAATAATACTTTTGCTTTTAGCTCACCCTAGAGAAAGGAGGATTTATTGGCACTAGAAGAATTCAGAAATGAATGAGTTGGAAGAATAGGAGTCAAAGTATTAGCTGTCTTTGTCCTTGGGGGAAATCAAAGGCACTATCCAACTGATGTCTGCTCTGGCCTTATGATGCAGAATTTAGGTCTTTGCATTCTTTGAGGCAGACCTTTGAAATTACAGATATTGAAATTATGTTTCTTGCCATTGCAGGCCAAGGACAGTGATGATGACGACGAGGTTGCTGTTGGTGTGGATCGGGATCGTTTTATGGATGAGTTTTTTGAGCAGGTGATAAATCCTTATTTCCTATTTATTATTTAATATATGGCATACCATACATGGACTTGCAATATATATTGATATATATAAATAAACATTTCACCTAGATTAAAAACAAATATAATATGAATATAAAAAAGATCTATATTCAGATACCAATATCTAGGCCAGCTAGCCATTGAAGCGCAGTATTGTTTAGCAATATCAATAGCACTTAGACTTATATACCGCTCCATAGTGCTTTGCAGCACTCCCTAAGCGGTTTACACAGTCAGCATATTGCTCCCGACAAGGTGGATCCTCATTTTACTGACCTCGGAAGAATGGAAGGCTCAGTCAACCTTGAGCCGGTCTGGCTGTGAGCAGAGTCAGCCTGTAATACTGCATTCTAACCACTGCACCACCATGGCTTTTCTGTGTGGAAGTTTATGTAAAAAAAAATCAGATATTGGACCAGTATATGCCTTCAGCTTACAGCCAGTTACAACGTGATCTTATTTCTTATATTAACATGTATAAAGATACATAAATACAAGGAAATTCTTCAGGTGGAGGCACACGAGACTGGACATTCAGCAGTTAGGAAACACCCAATTAACCAAACAATTTTTAAGCATTTTTATTAGAAACACTTAGCAACCTATGACCTGATGAGTTATTCTTTCAGAAATATTTTCTCATCAGATTCCTCAGTGCTTTAGATGGTGGCAGAGCTTCTAATGTTTTTCAAAAGTTCTTAAAAATTCAAGGAGGTATTCAGAGATGTATCTGCCTTGAAAGCAGCCCATTTTGAACTGTGTAGTTCAATGAAACATCAAAGTTGATCACGAGAAATGTTTTGTGACATTTTGTATTATGTCATAAATTGCTTCATAAAATGTTTTATAAGATTTGCCAAATTTCAGTTCTATGGGAGTCATGAATCCTAGATTTTGGATACATTCTATAAGCCAGCCCATTTGATATACAGTCTTTTGGTTGAAATAGTTTTGTCATTTCGACCAATTAAAGGTTGCAGAATGGGAGTTTTAGTGGTATACAAATAGATAATGCTTATTGTGAAAAATATTTTGAATATATTTTCAATAGGATGGAATTCAATACAGCAGAGATGTACAAGACTGCATAGTTTATCTCGGCTGAGGGATAGAACAATAGGTTAATTTAACAATGGGATTGTAATCAAGTTGGTTGATAGCATTGGTAAAATGAGGACCCAGATTGTTGAGGGCAATATGCCAACTCTGTAAACTGCTTAGAGAGAGCTATAAAGCAGTATGAAGTGGTATATAAGTCTAAGTGCTATTGCTATTTGACTGATCAGTTTTTAATATATCTATCCCAAGATATGTAGCTGTCAAAGTTGAATTGCTAAGATGCTTGCTAACTTCTATAGCCATAGAAATGGGGGTGGGGAAGTTTCAGGAGATCATCCATGGATGGTGAGAACCAAGGTCATTCAAAGCAGGTGTCTGGCAGAGAAGTGGACCGTTCCCATAACTAACAGAAAGAATGTGAATGGCCAACGTGAACACCTGATGGGTGAGGGTTATGAAAAGCTATTGGTAACTAACCAGAACTTTGCGTGGAAAATTTAAGTGTTGATATTACTTCTTCAGTGCTGGGATGTGTATTCAATAAAAAATTATCTCTTATGGCATCTCAAGGCTGTAGAGTTTCTTTAATGTTGAATTCATCAGCTGGACGGTTGACATTAGCGTTCATTATAGTTGGCTTCAGGATCCAGAGTTTAAATTCTACAATCATGCCAGGCTTTTTTTCCCCTCAGGTGGAAGAAATCCGTGGGTTCATAGAGAATATCTCAGAAAATGTGGAGGAGGTGAAGCGAAAGCATAGTGCCATCCTCGCTGCCCCAAATCCTGATGAGAGTGAGTAAGGTTGCCTTGCGTTTCTTTCACAACTGATTAATAAAAGCAGTACAATTTTGCTAGGGAGAGAAATTTATATCATGGTTGCAGTTAGAATAGATGCCTTCACTGCATTGTCTCATGTAAATCAGATAGAAATTGTAAACTTAGTGCAAAGATGGAACATGACTACGGGATTCCATGGAAGTTCAACCAGAAGGGACCTGAAGCTAGTATCGGGCTGTTGAACCATCTGGATTTCGCATCGGTATTCATGCTTGTTGAAGACTTTATCTTGAAACACTTCCAGATCATTATGCAGCTTCCCTGCCTCATTCATGGAATTTTATGGGGAGATCCAGATTATGTTACCAAACACATTTAACTTTTTTATGCCTCTCCGCTACTTCTATCTATTTGTTTTGTGCAACCAACAAATCTACTGTGGAGAGAAAGTCACAAAGGCTGCATGATGCCTTTCAGTTGGTAGTGTTAGGTGTTAGGCATGGAGAAGCAGCTTGGCTTTTTAGATTAGCCAGCTGGAAATTCTTTTTTTTGTGGGGGGGGGGGAGGGCTGCCTCACATGAATCTCTGCTCCTATGCAACCCCTATTGTGGCTAGCTTCGTATTTTCACTGCTCTGTTCCAAACAATTGAACGTTCTCTCCCGTGGCAAGCGTGAGTGTTGCATAAATATTAATTAACTCACTTGCCTGATTCGTGTGAGCACATTAGAACAAAGCGCTCTGTAATTAGCTATGCCTTAATTTAGACAGCAGAACCAAGCATTCGTCTGTCCATCTCACAGTAGGAAGTTTTTGGCATGACCAGGGGTAGGTGCAAAAAAAATGATCACATGAAGCCCTATAGATCACTTCATGGCTGACCCAGCTGCTCATGTGATCTAAACATTTCAGGGGAGAATGCTATGATTAGGGGACAACAGTGAAATCATATATAGTTTAAGAGCTCCATCTCAGAATCTGTTACAAGGCTGGAAAGTACTGGGTTCCAATCCTAGTCTATGTAGAATGCAGCACAAACATTATCAAATAAATAAAATGAAATTATCCTGTGCAGACTGGGCCAAATAACTTTATTTTATTTTTATCTTATTTATCAAATTTCAAAGCTTTGGATTGTTTTGACAATTCTAGATGGCTTACGAACAAAAAGAAAACCATACATGTAAAAAAGGTCACAGCCAATTGGAAGAGCAGTTCACCAGTTATACATCAATGATAACTAAAGGAGGCTTGATAGCCCTTTGAGGTAGTCCAGATAGGAGGCACGTCATTCACACATACCATTACAGAGCCCCACTATCATTCTGTCCTAAAGCCTAGGAGAACTACCAGGTCCCTAACAATGTCCTAAATGTCATAAGAGTGGGAGCCACATGAATCTCTGGGGGATATCATTCCAGAGGACAGGTCCAATCTGGACTCCCACAGTTTAATTAATGGGACCCACAGACCACCATCATTCAGCTTATGTTGTTAAGATCAGCCAAGGTCAGCCAGCTGGGCAAATTTCAGCAGAGCAATGTATAATTAAAAACAAAATACAGTGAAACAAATGCTAAAAGCAATAGTTCAACTTCCTTAGCAGTGACTACATCTGTAATAATGCTCATTACAATTTCCTAGCTAATGCTGCAAGCCCGGCCGATTTTTCAAGTCACGCTGATATGAAAAGCACAAGAAAAAACTGGAAAGTGCTTTTCTGGTTAGTAGCTGACTGACCAGAGCAGCGTGTTTTAATTCCCTGTCTTGAAAGATGGTATTCATATAGTCTGACATAGCCCATCAAGCTATGCCATTCCTTCTTTGTCCAATTCCTTGTTTTCTTGCTTCCTCTGACAACTCTTTTCTCTTCTTGTCTGCTGCAGGCATTCTGTAATTAGGGCTGTCTGGGATGGGCTCTTGGGATTCAGCAGGCAAGTGCTTGAACGTCCAGAAAGGATAGCTGAATTTAGATAGTTTCTTCCAGTTATAGCCCTCATTACCTCCCACATCCCTGTTACATTCCCCAGACAGATGCCATCGGTCTCTCTGCAGCTGCCCACTTGATAGCTGGATGCTTTGCTTCCCTTTCTGCCTTTCATACTCCCCTGGAGCTTCAGTCAAGCCTTTTGCTGCCCTGTGCCTAGAGCATAAGCCCACTTTTTGGCTGCTCAGTTGTTTAAATTAGATTTGCCTGGTTCTGCCCACTATATTCACAAGCCTGAAGTTCAGGGAGGGGTGTTAATCCTATTGCTACACCACTCTGCAGACAAACAATCCAAGCACAGTTTGTGCATGCATCTGTGGCAATAGGAGACTTGGATTGTTCTCATTAAACAGGAATATGCTACATTGCATCTCTCCCAAAATCCCATGATTTGATTCAGAAATGACAGTTGAAAAAAAAAGGGAACAGTCCTTACTGCAGAATGGCATCTGACCCCAAACCCCGAGATTGAGTATAAAACCTCACAAAGCCACTTTGTAGCAGGTGTGGGAATGTTGCATGTGATGTGTTTTGCAGTGCAAGTTGACTTGGAAGCAAGTCTCATCTTTGATGGAATTTATTCTTGGATAAATTTACTTAGGATTGTGTGAATAAACATTGGAATATCTAGCAGGCCAGTTCAGTGGAAGGCCATTCTTTTAACAGCAGGTTTTGGTATCATCCAACCCTTGACTGAATGAGCCAAAGGGAAAGGGATCACCACAAGAAAACCTAGATTGTTCTTAACCAATACCCTGCTGATGTAATGTTGAATCTGATCAGGGTTTTTAAACTAGGGTAAATTATGGAAAGAGTTTCCTCTGATTGTCTATGTCAGGGGTAGGCAACCTTGGCTCTTTTATGACTCGTGGACTTCAACTCCCAGAATTCTCAGGAATTCTGGGAGTTGAAGTCCACGAGTCATAAAAGAGCCAAGGTTGCCTACCCCTGGTCTATGTCTATGGAGATTCTCAGTCATCCAGATCACGGTTGTCCCAAAGGTGTTTTTTTCAAAAGGCAGATGGACTTTGTTTTTCCTTGAAGAGGTTTCGCTTCTTATCCAAGAAACTTACTCAGTTCTGACTCAGTCTCACTGACTCAGTTATGACTTCAGTCAGAAGCTTCTTGGACGAGAAGGGAAATATCTTCAAGAAAAAACAAAGTCCAGCTGCCTTTTGAAAAAGCATCTTTGGGTTTGCTCTGATTTTTCATTCCTTTATATCACATTGAATCCATTGGCTGTTTCATTGTAGTCCAGGATTCTCCACTCTCATACAATGATAACATTTGAAGAGATTTGGAAATTATATATCCCAACTTTCCTTTGATCTTACCCACTACGGATGTGGAAAAATTGCAGCTTTCACAATTTTGAGGTAGCATGATGAATGGTTGCAGAATTCTGAAAGGAGAAGTCCCAACACATCAGGAGGTGCCAGATTACAGAGGACTGAGCTAATGAACTCACTACTCCATACATTACAGTGCTTGCAGGATACAATGGCAACATCTGTCAACGCTGCTAATATCAGATGTTCTTGTTTTGACAACAGATGGAAATGCAGCCATTTTTCACTATTGCTTTTAGAGTTAGTTAATGCTGGGAGGGGGAATGTGGATGAGAGTCCAGCTAGTCATAACAATAATAACTCAGCCATGGGAACCCAAGGTCATTGGGCCCAGAGTTGATAGAGTTTTGGCGAGCTGGGGAGAAAGCCTGCGCTTCAAACTAATCGGGGAATGTGATTTATGACTGTTTATTGGAGGAAGGAATTGTGCTTTGTTACTTTGTATCTAGGGGAACGGAATTTAGTTTTTGGTTTCAACTATGTAGTGCCGATACTTTGTTTCTCGAATAAAAGATTCTTTAAGGTAAACAATGCCTCGAAGTTCTTTTGAAGAGTTTCATCTGTTGGAACCATGACAGCATCTCTACCGACAGTTGTCCAACCTCTTTTTCAGTGTACTTATTGAACAAGAACCCACTGCCTGAAGACAGTTTTTGGACAACAGTTCTTACTGTAAGAATATTTTCTGTTGAAGGTTCTGTTAGCTGAAATCTATTTCTCTGCAACTCCTTTTTCAAAATAACTGGGCATCTAATGCTTATTAGCTCTGAATTCTCATCATTTTTGCTTCTCCTAAACATGCATAGTCCTTTCAATTCTTTGTGGTAAAAAAAAGGTAAAGGAGTCCCTGCAGATTTTACTCCGTTAGTCGTTGCTGACTATAGAAGGCGGTGTTTATTTCCATTTCAAGGTCATTGAACTGGAGCTGTCCAAAGACATTTTTGCAGCCATGTGGCCATGACATCATAGAGCACTGTTATCATCCCAGCAAAGTGGTACCTATTTATCTACTCGCATTTGTGTACTTTCGAACTGCTAGGTTGGCAGCAGCTCGGGCGAGGACAAGAGCTCACCCCATCACTTGGCGCACAGGTCTTGAACCTGGGCTACCACCTTTCTAGCCGACAAGCCTAGCATATTAACTGCTGATCCATCACCCCACCCTCTTAATTGTGGGACATGGTCTAATTGCTCAGCTTTTAAGGTAACTCCTACTTTTAAAATCTATCCCTGCAGAATTTTACTAATAATGTCTAGAAAGAACCATATCTCATGTTCTCTCTTCCACCCCTATCCCAAAGATTTCTCTCTATGCACTTGTTTCATGGGCCATCCATATTTGCACAGCTGGAGCTGGGTCAGTACTTTGAACATGCAGGCAGCCTTCATCTTCATGTTGCTCAAATGATACCTGGCTTCTTTTGCTGTGGCTTCAAGATGTCGCTAATGAGCTTTGGGTCAGATAAAGGATGGAAACATTGATATCCCAGATTGAGTTGGTGTGGCTTATTAGCCACTGTAAACACCTACACTGCTGCAAGACAAAAATTGCTCCCTGGAGATGTGTTTGTCTTTGAAAGTCCAGAAGATTTTTATTGGATGAGAAACAGTTACTTCAAAAGCTGAATAGCAGAAGATATGGGGGAAGGGGATTATTGAACAAAGTATAGAGCTTTAATTTTACAAATAGCAAAGCTCTGCTTATGCAGAGGTAAAATATTGCATTTCATATACAGCTTCCTCTTTACTCCTTCCAAAATATAGATGTTTCATAATATACCACACTGATTATTTGACTGGAAAGCAAGAGATAAATCGTAATAAATAAGAATGTGCTATATTTTAAAAAGAAATGTAACAAATGCAATGTAAGAAGGAAAAAAAATCCATAAAAGATGTTTATTAATTGTTGCCTTTTCTCCAGTTTTTTTTACACAGAATCTAGATGGCATCAGCTTCCTACATTCTAGTATTTTGGGGACTGTCCTCCCATTTATTTATGTATCAGATCTGTATTGCATAATGTATACTGTGAATCCAATGATTAATTAGCAATTTAAAAAGCTAATTCAATCAATCCTGACTTATTTAATATCTGCATAACATAGCATAACTTTTTCTGTTTGTACCTAGTGGTAGATTATCATATCAAATGAAGCCCTAAGATAGCTAACAGGTAGTTCTCAAGTTACAACCATTCACTGAGTGACCATTCAAAGTTACAATGGCATTGGAAAACGTGACTTATGACCTTTTTTACACTTATGATACATGATACTTTTTTACAGTATCCCCATGGTCACGTGATCAAAATTCAGATGCTTGGCAACTGGCTCATATTTAACAACAACAACAAAGTTGAAAGGGGTCTTGGAGGTCATCTACTCCAACCCCCTGCTCAGGCAGGAAACCCTATATCATTTCAGACAAATGGCTGTCCAGTCTCTTCTTAAAAACTTCCAGTGTTGGAGCATTCACCGCTTCTGGAGGCAGGTTATTCCACTGGTTAATTGTTCTAACTGTCAGGAAGTTTCTCCTTAGTTTCCATCCATTGCTTCTTGTCTTGCCTTCAGGTGCTTTGGAGAATAGCTTGACTCCCTCTTCTTTGTGGCAACCCCTGAGATATTGGAACACTGCTATCATGTCCCCCCCTCGTCCTTCTCTTCATTAAACTAGACATACCCAATTTCAGCAACAGTTCCTTATATGTTTTAGCCTCCAGTTCCCTAATCATCTTTGTTGGTCTTTTCTGTACTCTTTCTAGAGTCTCAACATCTTTTTTATATCGTGGTGACAGTTGCAGTGTCCCGGGGTCTCGGATCACCTTTTGCAAACTTCTGACAAGCAAAATCAATGGGGAAGCCAGATTCACTTAACAACCATGTTACTAAATTAACAACTATGGTGATTCAATTAACAACTATGTCAGGAAAGATTGTAAAATGGGATAAAACTCATTTAATAACTTAGCAATAGACATTTTGGGCTCATTTGCGCTTGTAAGTCAAGGACTACCTGTATTTGGTTTCGGTTTGATATGATTCTGTGCAAATGGAATCAATTAAACCTTTTTGTATGTCACGTTTAAACCCATGGTTTGTTATTGGCTTTTTGTCCCAGTATGAAAGATAAACAAGGATTCATGATTTGTTTGTGGCTTCTTGTCTTATTTCTAATTTGATTACATGCTCTTCCCAGACTTGTAACCAATCCAGTATTTTGGGTATTGTGTGCTTGTATAAGCCTATGAATCCATATTCTTCGTACTGAAACAATTAGTTCAGGATCATCCTACGTATTATTTTCAATTTTTCTTAAGGTGAATGACAGTTTGAGGATGCAACTGAGAATTAAGAATTTTAGTTTCTTTTTTCCTTGTCTCTCTCTTTTACTAGGTTTGTATGGCCTCATTTTGATGGAGAAACATCACACTGAACAGCTGTTTTGCCTCATTTTCTTCATTTTGCTTTAATAATTATATTGATTCATAATAAATAATCTCATGAATTGTTCATTTTATTTTTAGTTATTGTCTTGGCAAAAAAAGATATATTTAGCTATTTTTCTCGTTAAGCAGGAAAAAGCACTTTTGGTAGCCAGCATTCATTATTAAATAATATCAGCATTCTATTAATATTTGCTAGTTATTAATAAAACATTATTTTGGGTACTGTGTACCACATGGAAAGGAGTAATGATATTTTGGTGTCCATTAAATGGACAAGCGTGATTTGGGAATAGAGTTTAAAAAAGAGATTTGGGTATAAGGGCTTCTATCTATTTTTGCAGTTTTAAGTAGTCCAAATGGATTTTAATGCATATTTTGCTCTTGTTTCTTGCTGAAAATTAGTAAATTGTTCTATCAGTATTTAATAATTTGCTGCTGAATTTCAACAACATAGTTCATAGGAGGAAGAACTTTGGGAAATTCAAAAATTAAGGGTCAGGTGTAGAATAACTTTCTGGACCGTAGACATAAATACCAATACAAGAGAATATTTGTACTCAGGATTGAACTGTGAGGTCTTTGCTGCTCTCTGAGCTTTGTTGTTTTCTTGCAGTCATTTTGTTATTCAACTGCAAAAACAAACAAACAAAAAACAATCAAACTTAGAGAGCACCAACGACCCCCCAAAAGAAATAAATATTAGAAATAGAAATTCCAAGTTCGGCACTGCAGTTTATTAGTAACTCACAGGTTGTCTTAGATCAGTAGTTTGGAAGCACCTTTTCCAGCTAAAACTATTTATTAAAATGCACAAGCTTTTTCAACTCATGAAAGCTTATGCCTTTTGGGTAAAATTTCTTAGCTGGAAAAGGTGTTATCAGTCTCCTGGTTTTTGCCCCATAGACTAACACAGCTTTTCTACAAGGTTTATAGATTACCAGCTTTTCTGTCATTGCAGGTAAAGGCATTGAATAAGCTTAGCAAACACATTGCCTCTCTAAAAATCTGCAAGACGGCATGTTCTGGACAAGCTACAAAATCCCTGTTGGTAAAGAAGTTTAAAAGCACTTTTAGGTTTGCGGGCTTAAGCCTATCTCAGATGCTTCACTTGAGTTCTTCACATGCTAATAGTGATGCATCCATGCCATGGATTGGAAAAGTATTAACTAAAAATTAAGTGGTTATTCGGTTGTCCCACCTAATCCAGAAAATGGAACACTTGTCTGTCATGAGCAATGATGCAATACATGATTTGAGGTTGTCCGGAGAAGAGCTGAAGCGTGGCTATATGATTTAGAGAGAGGCTGGGCTGAGCTGTGTCCTCCTTGCATCCTTGGGGCCAATCTCTGCTGCTCTGCCAGTGTTGCTTGGTTACACTGGCAGCATTTAGAGCTCCAGGTGACAAAAAATATCTCATGGGGGGTGGGAGGGAGGGAGGGAAACACAGTTGCACCTGCCACTCTGTGCCAAGCCGCATTAGTTGTGATCAACGTGAAGGTAGAGAGAATAAGCTGGAAGATTGCTGAGAAGGAGCACCAAAATGGCTGTCTCTCTTCTGCCAGGAAAAAGCTATAAGTCCATAGTAAATAAATTATTTAGATTGCTTTCATAAACATGCTTAACTTTAAGCCCTTGTAACCAACTTATTTGGTAAGGTCACAAACATTCTAAAACCACAAGAAAAATATGTATTATGGTATAAAGATGATGGCTTGATTAACACAGCAATGGCTGGATTCCCATAGCATGCTGATTCATAAACTGTCACACTGATGGTTTGGTTTAATCTAACATGTTATGTGAGCCACCTTAAGAGTGAAGGAATGACAGTGGAGGTTTTATATAAACCTATAAAGATTTCTGTGATGAATCTCGTGTAGAAAAAATGATTCCCCCCCTCTTAGTTGGAGATGTTATGATGTTGATAAAAATGCATAATTTATAGAATTTATACTGCAAGATATGATGGCCACTGACATTAGATGACAGGTATGTTACATTTATGTGGCTAGAGACAGCACTTTTAAAAAAAAGAATGTGAATGACTCTTCAGGAGCTGTGGATTTAAGTCATGGTGACATTTGAAAAGGGTTGGTTGGGAAAATTTTGATCATTTTTGGAACAAAGGGGAAATAGGTACAGTAAATCTTGCTTAGTTTTAAACCGCCCATTTTGTAATGTAATATTTCCTTTAGAAAGGAAAACCAGAATCAATTTTGAGAGGTGTTTAAAAGAGAAAATGGATGCAGTACATTTCATCATCTCTTTGTCTATAATAGCCAAAAAGACTTCAAATGGAGATGAAATAATAAGACCTTTGGTCAAAAGAACTGTCTGAATTCAGTTTCTGCAGGGTTTTTTTTCCAGAGCTTTTCATAAACTCTGCAGCAAACAATGGTGAGCCAAATATGCTCACTGTTTACATTACATTATGACTGTAAGTTCTTTGGGCATTTGTCTTTTCCTTGCTTATGTTGCTATGTAAATGCTACGAACTTTGGTAATATTAAAATAATAAAATTATTTAACACCGTATCTGACTTGCCACGTGCCTACCAGGGACATTTCCATTTATTGATTGATGGCCTAAATATATATGATGCTTACTTATACAAAGGAATCTTACAACATACAGAGCTTAAAACAGCCATAAAAATAATAGAGTCAGTTGCTGATCTAAATGAAATCTTCTTGTCTGATTGCTCTACAGAAGATGGCTGTATTCAACAGTTCCTGAAAGGCAAAAGGATAGTTGTCAGTCTGACCTGTGGGGGCATCCAGAATGGGGGGGGGGACCCATGGGAATGTCTGCCATGCCTTTCTTCTCTATTCTCTGTCTCCCTTGAATCCAGCTAAGGATGGAACAGCTTGGTGACATTTATCAGCCAGATACAAATATGTTCATTCCAAAGCTCAGCGTAACAGAAAAAGCCAACATGTATGTATGTGGATGTGTGCGAATGTTTCTGTCCCAAGTCACCTATTTCAGTGTTTCCCTTTTAGAAACCAAGGAAGAGCTGGAGGAATTGATGTCTGATATCAAGAAGACAGCCAACAAAGTGCGCTCCAAGCTAAAGAGTTGAGTATCTGCTGCAGGTGTAAGGAGAGAGCAGGCCACTCTTTGCATGACTGTAATTAGAGTTATTTGGGAGGCTTCCAAGTTTCTCCCTGATTTGAAATAATGGATAATGAAGGGGTGCAAGCTTCACCTGCTGTGCTTGAAGCTGCTCACAGAGAGTCATTGCCTTAGTGCAGTGGTCCCCAACCTTTGTGGTTTGGCGGACTGAGATTGGACAAGCGGCAGGCATGTGTGTGAGCGTGTGCAACTCCATTTGTGCCAGCGGTGGGGGCCCACCACCTTTGTGTTCCCGCCACTCTTACAAGTGGAGTTGCGTTTGCCCATCGTTTTTGCAGTCTGGTTCCAAACGGACTGTGGCCTGGTAGTGAGCTATGGCCCAGCATGGCAACTCTCAAATGAAACCTACAGGTGATAACTTGCCAGGTGCAAGTTTTAAAAATGGGTCATTTATAGTAGGATCCTTCTCTTCCGGAGAGTTATTTTTAGTCCAGTCTGAAATGGATGTTCAGCAGGCAGAGAAGGAGAGACAGAGACTGAGACCATCTGTTTACCCTGTAATGTGCTTTTTCTTCCCTCTCTGAAAATAAGTTCTATTTTCTGCTTTTTCTTAGGTATTGAACAGAATATTGAACATGAGGAAGGGCTGAACAGATCATCAGCAGACTTGAGAATAAGGAAAACTCAGGTGGGTTCATTTCTAAAAAAGCCATGTTGCCTATCAATTCAGGGGTTTTCATGCACAAAATAACCAGGGTGATCAAATGGTAGATTACTTTTAAAAATCTTATAGCTTTTGAAAATGGTTCCTTCTGTTTCTCGACATCTACAGTAGTGGTTGGCAATTATTTGGGGGCCTTGTATGCCACTGTATGATCTTCATGGGAATGTCTCCCATGACATATTGTCTGTACTGATGCCCAAAACTTAGATCTGTTGCAAAACACAGTGTGTTTGACATTCTCCTCCCTACCTCTTGTAAATGGGCTAAAGGAGCTTATGTTCGCAAGGAGCAAAGTCAAACCAATCATCCAGAGGTTGTCCAAGCCTGATCTACATCGTCATCTGACCTTTCTGAAACCAAGCAGATTGATAATGCTCTGTGGAAGGTAAATAAGGAAATTACAGGGACACCATTGCCTGTTCTGTAATCATATGAATACCCCAAATACAGTGTTGAAGAGACAGTGAAATATGGGCTATTGAATGTTTTGGGGGATTTAGCTTTTTTCTCTCTCTCTTCCATCCATTCCAAGAATATAAAAAATAGACTAAGGGGGTCTTCATGTAGACTAACACTGAATTTTATCTGTCTAACCATGTGGCTTCAAGAAGCCCATAAAAACAGGCAACACAGTTGTTTATTTGATAAGAGGGTATACATGAAAGTTCCATTTAATATTCTCAGCAAGCAGTGATTGGTAAGCATCTCATTTCTCACAGGTTTGTTGCATCCTCTTTTCAAACCATTGGCCATATTTTCTTCCATAAATTCCATGTGCTCAACATAGTATGAAAGAGCTTTTTCTTTGTAAATTTAAAAATTGAGGAAAATGGGATTTTCACAGAAGCTTATGGATATATAAGCCACCAGTACCCAACTTTTTCAGAAGTATTCTGTTATAATTATGCCCCCCCCCCCAGCATTCTACCTTATCACGGAAGTTTGTGGAGGTGATGTCAGAATACAATACAACCCAGACTGATTACCGGGAACGGTGTAAAGGAAGAATCCAAAGACAGCTGGAAATAAGTGAGTGCTTTCTTCATTAGTTCTTTTCATTCAAATTACCATGTTCATCCATTTCTTACAGAGGATTGGAATGGTGCAGTCCTGTGTTGTTCTTGTTTGTCCTACTTTCACAATTTGGTTGTGATCATTTTTCTTTTTATTGTGATATCACTATTTTTCTTGTGGTCGGGTTGCTGTTGTACATATAGTTAAAAGCTTCCTGTTCAAGTTGAGAAAGAATATCTGTTCAACTGATGTTCTCCCATTTTCCACCAAATGCTCTGTGAAATGAAATGAAATCTATTTCTGTTCTTTAAGGCAAAGTTCACATTCCTAATTTCTTCTTAGTATTTCTTTCTTTTATAGTAAAAAATCAAATAAAAAATTGTTACAAAAGAAACATCCATAAATAATAATTAAAGATACAGATTCCCGTAGCCAGAGAATCAAAATAGACTAATTTAACTGTGATGCAGTTCATATTCAGGTAGACAGTGTAGTGGATTTTGAGCTATGATAATGATATTCAGTTTTTTACTGTAACCATTAGCCTGAAGGGAGATATTTTTGAAGTCTTGTTCCAAGTATGATAAAGCAAACAAAAGTTGACCTTAACCAAACTGAATTGCTCTTTGCTTAACAACGTTTTTTTTGGGGGGGGGGGGTCAGCTCAACTGATGCTGTTCCTAAGAGAACTGATCTGTGACTTTAGAGTCGTTTTGGAGTCACAGCTACTGCTAGTTGCATAGTTGGAGGGCATGGCCCTTATTCCGATAAACTGGTGCCAGTTCTGACATTACATGTAGTGGGAAAACCCAGCCTTAGTGTCAATGTTTATCACCATTTCCCTACATAGGACTCTTTTGAGAATAAATGTCATCAGCCTTTGTGATGATTTATTTTTTTGCTATTAAATATTTGTGGAATTATTGTTGTTTGGAGTTATTACCGTGGACATTTTAATTACCTTCTAACAGGGTTTTTTAATGTTGTAAACATCCCAGAATCTGGGAAGATTAGGTAACATATAACCTAATAAATAAAATGCTGGGTGTGATTGGGAGATACCAATTTAGATCAGCGTTTTTCAAACTTAGCAATTTTAAGATGTGTGGACTTCAATTCCCAGAATTCCTCAGCCAGCATGTTAAATCGGAAGCCTGATTTAGACCATACAAATCGCAAGTACTCCTCGCCATTTCTCAGCTTCCACTAGTGATCCTTGGGGCGCCTGGCCCAATTGCAGACTGGAGGAAGCAAATTTCCTTTCCTATCTGCCACAAAACAAGCCAGTGTGAGAGATGAGAGCTGGAAAAGAGGCTATGAAGTGTCCCCCCCCCCGTGTCTTCAGTCTATAGAAGAACAGGTGGTGCCTTGAGATCTGCTCTGTCCAGGTGGCTTTTTCAACATAAAAGGAGGGGTTAGTAGATAACTATCAAAAAGTGGAAGGGGGCAGCAGGGTGTATTGGAAAGAAGTCTTGCGTGGAAGAGGCCAGGAATTAGAAAAAAGCTACTTGCAGATATAGTGAGTAGGAAGGGAGGATTGTGTGGTGCCCATGGGAAAGAAGGAAATTTGTGTCACTAGGTCACATTAGGGCCCTGCTTTTCTTTTAAAAAATAAAATTTGAAATTTTGATTCTATATGTACTATCACTTTCTGCTTAGAGATATGTATTTGCGTAGATCTTCCTAACCAGTTTTGATCAATTTTATAGTATTTCTGAGCAGGCTGTGTTAAGTGGGCTAGGGTTCATATTAATATGTTTGTGTAGGCTGTTGGACTTCGTTCTGACTGCTATGCTGAGATGTTGATAAAGGGTAACAGAGGCAAGTTATGAGAATCATCTGAAAGGATCCAAGTAAGAGATATGGACGAGGTTTGAACTATTGGATGTTGGAAAGAAAGATAGATTCTATTGTTCAACCACTAACTTCTTAATATCATTTGCAGCTGGCAGGACCACCACCAGTGAGGAACTGGAGGACATGCTGGAGAGTGGGAATCCAGCTATATTCTCCTCTGGGGTAAGCACACTCTCCCTTTGCCTTGGGATTTGGCCAATCTTTTCTTTGTCCACACTGCTGAAAGTAGACCCAAAGGTACCATTTCAAAAGGCACCTGGACAACTTCACGATTCAAGGAAGAACAGCAGTGACATCCCTAGGAAGAAATCCAAACATCACCATATTGCTGGCTGATAAAGGAAGATATCTTGCAGTTATTCTGAGCAAAGATGATTAACTACTAAGGCGGACACTTTTTCTGAAAGACACTGTTACATATGAGACTCTGACGTTCTAAGGAAAAGGTCCTTGATTTCCTGCAACAACTGCTGAAGGACAATGACATTAACAAGCCACAATAGTACCGCCTTTAGCCTGGGGAAGCTACTCCATGCATATATGGACTCCCCAAAATCCACAAAGGAAACTCCATTCAGACCAATTGTCAGCAGGATCAACTACATCACCTAAAAACAAAGACCAGTTGCTTTTTGAAAAAGTACCTGTGGGACAACCATGACCTGGATGACTGAGACTCTCCATAGATTCATTCTGAGAGTAGAGTTTAGCAGTGCCATCTTTGAGTCCTTACAATAGCAATAGCACTTAGACTTATCTACCATTCTGTAGTAATAGTAGTAGTAGTAGTAGTTATTATTATTACTAATAATAATAATAGTAATAATAATAGTAGTAGTAGTACATTTGGAAAGTACATTGGAGGTCATCTAGTCCAACCCCCTACTCAGGCAGGAAACCCTATACCATTTCAGACAAATGGCTGTCCAGTCTCTTCTTAAAAACTTCCAGTGTTGGAGCCTTTACCACTTCTGGAGGCAGGTTGTTCCACTGGTTAATTGTTCTAATTGTCAGGAAATTTCTCCTTAGTTCTAGATTGCTTCTCTTCTTGGTTAGTTTCTATCCGTTGCTTCTTGTCTTGTCTTTAGGTGCTTTGGAGAATAGCTTGACTCCCTCTTCTTTGTGGCAACCCCTGAGATATTGGAACACTGTTATCATGTCCCCCCTTGTCCTTAAACTTGACATACCCAATTTCAGCAACAGTTCCTTATATGTTTTAGCCTCCAGTTCCCTAATCATCTTTGTTGCTCTTCTCTGTACTCTTTCTAGAGTCTCAACATCTTTTTTACATCATGGTGACTAAAAATGGATGCAGTATTCCAAGTGTGGCCTTACCAAGGCATTGTAAAGTGCTTTATAGCAGTGGTCCTCAATCTTTCTGGCTTAGCAGAGATGGGGGGGGGGAGAGGGAATGGTTTTGCATGCACAAGCCACTTTCACAAATGCAGCTTCATGCGCACTCATCCACCACTTCTGTGGCCTGGTTCTGAATGGGCTGCGGCCTGGCACTGGGCTGCAGACTGGGGGTTAGGGGCCCCTGCTTTATATCACTCTCTGAGTGGTTTACAATGTCCACATATTGCCCCCAGCAATCTGGGTTCTCATTTTACCGACCTCAGAAGGATGGAAGACTGAGTCGGCCTCGAGCCCTGTCAGGATTGAACTCCAGATTGTGGGCAGAGTTTGCCTGCAATATTGCATTCTAACCATTACACCACCAGGGCTTGGGCATGTTGCTAGAAGTGAATGTCAGATTGTTGAAAAGGAAGTAAGATCAAGAATAAAGGTAGCAGTTCTCTTTCTACTGGCATGGAACCATAATAAAGAATCACAATCCTTTACTTTGACTCTTGATTTTACAATATAGGTTCTACTATATCACAAAATCAACAATGGGTGATGGTCAAAGACTTCTGGGATATTATTCTTCCACTGCCTATGCTTAGCAATATTTGATGTAAATTCCACCTTTTTCCTATGGAACTCAGCATAACATGTTTATACATCCATGACAATCTCCTGATGTTTTTCCAGATTATGTACAGTAACCATTCACTGTAATCATTTATGGCCTGTACCTACAGTATGCATTCTTATGTCTGTACTTTAAAATAAATATATATATTGGATGAATTAGCATGCAGTCCTAAGCCAGGATTTTTTTTTAAACCTCAGTTTGATGAACAAGTCCCTCTCCCCCCCCATTTTATTTGTTTATAATTCTTTCAGTGACTTTAGATGGCTTATGAAGGTATATGTACACCACCCAAAGTCACTGATTGCGAGATAGGTGGTTATATAAATATGAAGAATCATTAAGTATGAAAAACATTCATAATATTACTTATTGTGTGTTATTTAGCTTGTTTGGTTATTCTAAGTAGCAAATTCATCAATGGTAATACATGCACAAGTTATTTTTGTTAATGGTATAGTTAATTCTGCTGTTTCATTTTTTTTTCTCTTTTGGGATTTTTCTTCATGGGAGGCTAAGAACAGCAATGATACTCAGTATCCCTTTGATTCTTCGGATGTCTGCTGTCATTGCCCACCAACAGAAAAATCCATGTGTGCTAGAAGCTCTGCGTTTTTTCCCCAAAGAAAGCCATAATTTTTTACCAATTTATAAACTTGTTCTAGCCAGCCACAGAAAATCAGGAAAATGTGATCTCCAGAAATATCTACCCAGAATGGAAAGTCTTACTGGACCATATGCCATTAGTGTTCCAATGCTGCTTTTTTTTTTTTTTGCTAGATCATCATGGACTCCAACATTACAAAGCAGGCATTGAATGAGATTGAGACCCGGCACAGTGAGATCATCAAGCTAGAAAACAGCATCCGTGAACTCCATGATATGTTCATGGACATGGCCATGTTGGTGGAAAGCCAGGTGAGAGCTGCTGCAGAAGAATGGACTGACTTACTTATTGGCATACCTGGTAGCAACATCTAATCCTCTGTTAATTAGTCTCCGGTCTCTACACTTCCCTCTGCTAGAGATACTGCAATGATATATTTGCACTGTAGTTCCTACATTAAATAGAGGGCTGGGATAAATGTCTTTGTTAGCTCTGTGATGTGGATCACACAAAAAAATTATTTTTGATTCAAATTTCCCTATACAACCCTGCTTCAAACAACTTAAGGTTTCATTTCATGACTCGCCCTGTTTACTGTGTTAACTCCTTTTGTTTTCACGTGGTGTATTAAAATATAGACCAGACATCTCAAACACAAGGCCCAGGGGCTGGATGCGGCCCGCAATGTGGTTTCATGAGGCCCGCAAAGCCATTCTGGAAACAGTGAGGGAATGGCCCCTGCTGCCTTGGCCCCAGCCCAGGCCACCTGGGAGCCAATGTACAATTTTGTGGTGGCCATCTATGCTGAAACACATTCAGTCTTAACTCCACAAGGCCATCTGGAAACAGCAAGGGACCGGCCCCTGGGCGCACGTTGGGGAGGTGTCACCCTTTGTGAGGAATGAAGAAATGCATCATCGCCCCCCCCCCATTCTGGATGCCCCCTCAGATCTGTCCCACTCCTGCCCAGGCCCCCACAGGGACCCCTGATGCGAATGATGAAGAGCTGGTCATGCCCACCCAGTAGGCCACACCCACTCCATCCACGTCCACCCAGTAGGCCACGCCCACCCAGGCCACCCCTACCCGCCCCCCTGAGGACAACACCAATGCTGATGTGGCCCCCAATGAAATTGAGTTTGACACCCCTGATATAGACTAACATAACTGAATGTCCCCTTTCCCCCCCCCAATCAAAGTTAGAGCTAAATATCTTTTCAATGTTATGCAAAATGCAAATATTTGGCTCTTATAGGACTTGGTTAAGCATATTGTTAAAATTATGGTGGGGCCGTGAGATCAAGCCCACCACATCTGATTTGTTCAAAATTTGCTGTAGTTTGAACGTAAAAGGTCTCCGCAAGAAGGACAAAAGAGAATGCTGACCTGGGAACAAGGAAAAAGCAAGATGTAGGCATTTGATCCTGCAATTTTTCTTCTGCTATTGTGCAAAGCACTACACGGTGTGATCATGCTTTGTAAATTATTGTCAATAATAGTTTTCTGGAAGAAGCTAAATTTGTGTCCATATTTCTGTGGAAATAATAGAGGAAGGAAAGCTCTTTAATTTCCCTCAGTTAGGGACTGCCTATAGCAGGGGTAGGCAACCTTGGATCTTTTATGACTCGTGGACTTCAACTCCCAGAATTCTTGAGCCAGCTATGCTGGCTCAGGAATTCTGGGAGTTGAAGTCCACGAGTCATAAAAGAGCCAAGGCTGCCTATCCCTGGCCTATAGAATTCATAGATTTTTCACTTGGCCTCCTTCCATTTCTTAGCTGCTGTTGATTTTCTTTAAGTTCTAATTAAATTTATTGTATTATCTTTTTTAATTAAATAAAGTAAAAGTGGTAATTACCTTGCAAAAAGAAAGGGCAGTGTCATTTATGATAAATGTAGCTCTTATTATTGTGATGCCTTTGACCACTTTACTTTTTCACTACCTGTGAGAAACTGTTGTTGTGTTATTACAGTATTATTATTTCATTTTCTGAACCATTTTCCTTTTGGAGGTTTAGAGAAGAACCTAAGCCAGTTTTAGGTAATAAAAGCAATTCTTTTTAAAGTAAATTAAAACAAGTCTCAATAAAGGTTTATTTTATTTTTTTTAAAAAAAAGGCAAGATAGTTTGTTCCTGGCAGAGTTGTTATTCTGCAAATGCCTGGGTGGATTGATGTGCTTTTATCTGATGTTAGAAGGACAGCAGTATGGGAAAGAGCTATACTTTACTGAGGAAAGAGGTCCTTAATTGGGGTGCTGTCACAGGAAATGCTTTCTAAAAGGTTGGATTGCATAGCAAATGTCTGTCTGTCTGCTTTATTTTAAACATGACCTCCTGGGAAACTTCACTGACAGAAATGATGTGACATGGTTGATTCCCATATGCCCCCCTTGTGCAACCCACAGAGAGTGAAGCAGGGAGAGCTGAAGGGAACTTCAAGCATGGGGTTGGAGGGCTACATTTACAGAAATAGGCAGAGAGGAAAGTGGAGAGTTCCTCCTTTGGAAAGACTTGCCCTCTTAAAAGGTGAATACATCTGATTCCTGATTGTCTGGCCCTGCCTTTCTTTGTACCACTCCTGACCCCCTCTTTCTATCTCCCATGCTACCGTGCATATCCGGATAAGACTGTTCAGGTATTGGCAGGTAATGCCCATTTTCCCAGAATTGGGACAATTGCATGTCTATGCTGCATGGCTGCTTCATGATTCTGCATGCTCCTTCAGTCTTGTTGGGAAGTGGAAGGGTGATGGCCAAGTTGCTAGCTTGTCTAGAAAAGATGCTAGAGGAGGGAAGAATAGGTTGGTGTTACAGCATATGTGCTTCATATAAAAAATTCAAGACTTGTTCCCAGGAATCTAAGAGAGATGGGCTGGATCCAATTGTCACTAGCTGAAGACAACACCAGGTTCAATGACCCAATCTTTCGTTGTATAATGTTCTCCCTCTGGTACTCAGTCTTGCTTGGATTTTTCTTGAGAGTTAAGAAAAAGTTGCTAGGCTAGTTAACGTGATTAAGGCTTCACCAAGTAGCATAATCCTCATTCCCAGAACAGTCACCCACATGGCCATTGCTGAAAATTTTGAGAATTGGTCCACACATCAGGAGTGGATGTGGGGGAGGTTGCAATTCTAGTATCTTATTTAACCTCAAAGATTATCAAGGCAGATTGAAAAGGATTTTAAGTCAGCTAGGCCAAAATCCTGGAAAGCAGAGAGCCCCCCCCCATATTTTTCTGAACAACATAAAAGTTCTAGATATAGTCCCTCAACTTATGAGCACAATTGAGCATGGAATCTCAGTCATTGAGCCAAGTGGTCATTAAGCAAGACATCACATGACTACTCCTGTGACTGATTTACTCAATGACCGCAATCTCAACACTCCCAGTTGTGTTTATTAAGTGATTGTGTGTGTCATTAAGCAGATGGAGTCCCTGGTAAGGAGTACAGGGTGCCTGGCAGGGAAACCCAGTGGGGGTTCTGCTCAAAAGCTGAAAATTCTCCTTGCCAAAATCTGAGCAGGATTTTCAGCTTTTGGAGAAGGCACATTTACCCCACCTTCCTGAGGTGCTCTAGGCTGCTTACTTTATTACACTGCATCTGTGTTTGGATTTCAGCTCCCTCCCCTTTCTAGGATCTAGCTGAAAAAGCTGCCTGCTGAAGAATGACATCTCTGCTCCATGTGTGGAAAAGATCACCTTTGGCAGGATGCAGAAATGGAGTTCAAATAATCAGGATCTGAGCTTTGCTTTTGCTCCCTGTGGAAGGATCTCATGTCTCCTCCACGTGTAGAAAGGGACTCCTTCCACAGGTTATAGAAATGGAGCTCAAATCATCAGAATGAGTTCCATTTCTGCATCCTGTCAAAGAAGTTCATCTCCCCTTGGCAGGCAGCTCATTCAGCCAGCTCCCAGAAATGAGAGAAAGTCATCTTGATAGGTAAGCAGTAGCTCGCAACCTTCCCTACCAGCTTCCCTATTGACTTTGTGGGGTAGCTGGCAGAGAAGATTGCAAATGGCAATCACATGATTGTGGGCCACTTGGCAGCCAGTCATAAGGCACCCAGATTGCAATCACACAACCATGGGGTGAGGAAACATTTTACAATGACCAGAACTGTTTTACAGGCCATAAAACACACTTTCCGAGGAGACCATCTTAAACTTTGAACTGTCATTAAATGACTGATCATAAGTTGAGAACTACCTGTAAACATTACTTTTACAAGCATGTCATATATGTTTTAATGAGTGCTGCTTTGTAATAAATGTGGGGAGACTTTCTCTGCATGCACTTGTGGTTCTTTTCTTGGTATGCTGCTACAGCAGCTGTGCCTTTGTGATGCTGAGTGCCTTTTATGGAGTAGTGTTTTCCTTGCTTTCTGTCTCTGTGTGTGTGTGTTTTATTAGACAATAGAGTAAGACTCTAGAATTTTTGTCTAGGCACCTCCACCCTATAATCATGTACAGTTGAAAACACAGGGAAAGGGAGACTTCAGCTTCCTAGGCTTGGAAAAGCATTTGGAATTCATATTGAGACTATAAATCCTGAATAAATAGTTTGGAGAGTCTCAAATTCAAATTTGTACTTCTGCCATTGAGGCCTCTTCAAAGTGAAAACTACATACCATAAAAGATTAAAAGAAATTTAGAACAATAAAGCCTGAAGTGGACCAAGCAATAGTGAATATTAAAGCAGTTCTTTTATTATTTACTGCTAAAGATTTTTCCTCTGCTTCCTCTGTTTCCTCAAACATTTCTAAGAAAGCTTTGTGTATACCAACCTGTGTGGTATGGTGATGAAAATGTTGGAATAGGAACAGAGAGATCTGAATTTAAGTCTCTCCTCAAGTACAGTACAGAAGTTATCTAGAGGATTATGGATTTGGTACTCTTTCTTAGCCCAAACTTTCTGATAGAGGAAAAAATAGAAGGAGGGAGTCCTTTGTATGGCACTTTGAGTTCCTCTACAAAAGGTGGATTAGAAATAAAATAAATAAAATTTTAAAATGAGATAATTATTAACCTACTCATTTGAAGTCCTGAAATACATAACAGAAAAACTAACAAGGATGAAGGCAGAAGAAGAAAAGCACCAGCTTAAGGATAACTTCTGATGCAGTGGCAGGCTGGGTACGAGTAGAATAACTTGATGGAGCATGTTTTTCAGATGAGTTGATGAATAGCTCTGAGGCCATCTCATTTTGCCATAATCTTTGAAAATAAAAGCTGTTGGGGAAATATGTACAGGTAGTCCTCGACTTATGACCACTATTGAGCCCAAAATTTCTGTTGTTAAGTGAGACATCTGGTAAGTGAGTTTCGCCCCATTTTACAACACTTCTTGCCCAAGTTGTTAAGTGAATCACTGCAGTTGATAAATTAGTAACCTAGCTGTTAAGTAAGTCTGACTCCCCCATTGACTTTGCTTTCAGAAAGTTGCAAAAGGGGATCACATGACCCTGGGATGCTGCAACGGTCATAAGTACGAACCAATTGACAAACATCTGCATTTTGATCACATAATCATGGAGATGCTGCAAAGGTCGTAACTGTGAAAAATGGTCATAAGTCACTTTTTTCAGTGCTGTTATTGGCACTAAATGAATTGTTGTAAGTTGAGGACTATCTGTATAAGGGGGCATGTGACATAAAGTATCCCAGTGAGGACTCAGGACCCTCCTTGCCCCACATCCAGCCCTAAATCACAAAGTTTCAACCTCGTCATTCTGCTCTCTTTTGTTCTTTCTGATGACAGGTCTGGCAGCAAATGCAGGGCAAAGGAGACTGAAAGCGCCGTTCCCACTCCATGTGGATGTAAGAAAAGAGGTAATAGGGAGAACCTCAGTATCTCTCAAGCCACGTTTTTTGAAATCTATATGCATCCCCCGTTGTGCAGGGCGAGATGATCGACCGCATTGAATATAATGTGGAACACTCCGTGGACTATGTGGAGAGGGCTGTGTCAGATACCAAAAAAGCTGTAAAGTACCAGAGCAAAGCACGGCGGGTGAGCATTGGTCTGTGATGTGTACAGAAGGAGAGTGTGTGCGTGTGTGTGTGTGTATGTTAAGCCATCCTATGGTATCCCAGAGATGCATTGGCAGATGTAGGAAAGTATGGTAGTAGAAAACATTAAGACTTGCTCAGACCTAGTTTGCCTTGAAATACAAAGATACATAACATAGATTGTGATCTCTCTCTCTCTCCCTCTCTCTCTCTCTCTCCCTCCCTCCCTCCCTTTCCCCCCCTTTCTCTCTTGATTGCTGTTGGAAGTTGTTCCCCCCCCCCCCCCGTGTTCCTTTTCAAACACTGCAACTCTGCATCAACCCTTGAAAATACACATTTTCAACACAGGGAGTTTATTTGTTTATTTTGTAATAATGTACATACTGCCTCCTCCGATGACGACTTTGGGCAGGTCACAATAAGATCAAAATCAGAACAGTCAGAACAATTAAAATCAATCAAATAAAACCCCTTCCTTAGATCTTAAAGCATAAGATACTTCCACTCTGTACTAGGCCGAAAGATCCACTGGAATAGTATAATCATGGCTGTTTTCCAAAAAGACGGCTGGGAAGGGCCACCCTCACCTTGGGGACTGCCACTAAGGAGTCCTGCTCCAACTTTTTCCACTGGACCTCTCACAGGAGGGATTCTAGCCTGCCTGTGAAATGCCTGAGGTGGATGGGCAGATTCTACCTGTCTCAGACAAGCCTAAAGGTAACAAGAAACTGAACCATAAAGATAAACTATGAGAAAGGAGCTGAAGTGGCACAGTGGTTAGAATTCAGTATTGCAGGCTAACTCTGCCCACAGACAGCAGTTTGATCCTAACTGACTTAGGGTTGACTCCATCTTCCGTCCTTCCAAGGTCAATAAAAGGAGGACAAATATGCAGGCACTGTAAACTGCTCAGAGAGGGCTGTAAAGTACTATGGACTGGTATATAAGTCTAAGTGTTATTGCTAAGTGCTCTGAAAAGATGATAGCCATTGCATTGAACTGGACCCAGAGGCCATAGTCCAGCTCCTGTAAGATTGCTGCTATTCTGCTGTGTCATCATTGATCATCCATCTGGCAGGGAGCTGCATTTTGGATGAGTAATAGCTTCCAAACTGCCTTTCACATCAGGCCCCTTTCACCTAAATGATCTTAAAGCCAATAGGATTCTTACAATAAATTTTAAAAAAGACATCTGCAATATTGTTATCATAGTCTTCAGCCTAAAGTAAGAATTAAGTCACTGCCTGCACACTTAAAGTCAAAATGAAAGGAAAAAGAGATGAGAAAGAAAAAAACACAAATTCCATTTCTTTAAGCTAAATAAATGAAATAAAAAAGATACAATCCCTGACCTACCTTCTTAAATCCCCCAAAACATAGCAGAAAAGGAACAGCGAAGAAGGCATCCCATAGGTGAACTATCTGGAATCAAATCATTTCAGGGAGTAGAGCAGTTCCCTGGAACAGCCCTGCTTCTCTTCTTCCTTTGCTGTAATTTTCTATGCAGGCTCAGGGACACCTCACAGGTCTGCATTATTGCTATTCCTTCTCTTGCAGAAGAAGATTATGATTATCATCTGCTGCGTCATTCTGGGAATTGTCATTGCTTCTACTATTGGTGGAATATTTGGCTAAAAGCCTGCAACCATCCAAGAATATCGCTTATGGGAGTTAGGAGATGAATAAGAGCACCGGAGGCACCCAGCCCACCACCCATCTGGGCCCATCCAAACCCTGTACCCGCCGTTGGAGAATACTGGTGGACCAGCACTCTCGTCTCTAATGCATGATTATTTGTGTTAACACTATGTGTTAAGTACAGTGTACGTGTTGGGGGAGGGATGGTGCTGGGGGGATGGTGGGAAGGCAGTGTGTGCATGACATGCTCAAGGTTTTGGCAGTTCTACCACCTTTTGACCTCTCCTTGATGGTCAGATCTCTTCAAACCGAATCCCCTTTCCCTGCCTTCCAGTGAGGTCCTCTTTCTTCTCCCCAAAATAAGAGTTCGCTACAACAGCTATGCACAGTTAATCCAATCCCTGCCCTGGCAGGGAAAAGGTCTGGTCATCATCATCTGTCGCCAGAACTGTGTGCTCTGCACTGCTGCTTGTAAGAGGTAGGGGAGCCTCTTTGGCAAGGCCAGTCTTCCTCTTTTTTAGCCATGGGCTAAAAACACCCTTTTGTAGTGTTGCAGGCCTGTTCATCTAGGATATTCTGAATTTTTTTTTATTCTGCAGCTGCCCAGCCAGGAGTATGGCCCACCTGACCCAAATCTGTGTCTTCCACAGTTCTGCTCTGAGCGCCATTTCTGTTCAGTGGAAACCTCAGTCTTTTTCAATTTCCAAGGAAGCACTGGGCTTCTTTTCTCTTGCCTTCCTGAAAGCAAAATGTAATGTTATTTCTTTAAAATGTCATTCAAGGTTTGTTTGCTTAAAAAAGCAGAAAGGTGATCTGCAACATGAAATTAGGACAAAATTAGGACAAAAATAATTACTTCCACACAACCAGCTAAATTGGAGGAGTCAGAGGTAAGCTTCACCACATCCAATTAGGTCTTCTGGGTGTGTTAACCAAGAGCTGGTGGATGATGAAATGGGAATTTACAAATGCATATTTTAGAAATGTGTTCCAGACAAGTTGCAGCTCCTCTGTCACGCAACACAACAAATCCAAGTTTAAAATATTATGAGAAGCAGCCTTATATGGAGGGCCTATTAAAATGGTTGTGGTACTAATGTGTCCATGGCGTTCCTTGGTCCTTACCAGACTTTCTGTCCCAATTTTTTTTTTTTTTAAAGCTATATTTCAAAGTTGGCTTTTTGGCCCTTGTACTGTTAGAAAATAAAATGGTAGCTGCAAAAAAGGTGAAAGTCAGTCAGGCAGGTGATAAACTTTTTAACAATTTAGTTAGAGAGCAAATAGAATTCTCACTCATTTGCCCTCTGGTAAAGGTATTTTGTGACTGGGACAAAGACGTCTGTAGTTGTGTTGAAAATCCAGTTGTGCCCACTGGAATAAAACAGCTGAGGACCTGCCTTCAATGAAGTTACCACTGACATCATGCCTGCAATACATGTTGGGTGCTTGAGCTATGCCAGAGACTGAAAACCTCCTTGGCCTTGAATTAGCTTTTTTGTGCTTAAGACCAACTGGGTTAGTCCAGCTTCTGCCACTGTAAATTTCACTCTCGCTACCTGAATATCTGACTCTTTACTTTTCCACTGCATTGACCAACAGCAAAAGGCTCATTATTAATCAAATTCCACTTATCCTTTCTTTTTCTGTGGGCTGCTTCACTTGAGGATTTCAAGTGAAAGAGAAATGCAGACAGAGGTGTTCCCACATTTTCTTTTAGAGGAGCTGCCTGGACCTACTTCTGATGACAAAAATGGTGGGGTGGTTCATCTTCTCCCTTTTACATGCCACAAGCTGCCTCCTGTGGTTATTCCAGACTACACAGAAATTGCCAAATCTTTACCCCACATCCCAGCACTCTAATCTTAACTTAGCTCTTCCAGCTGCTTCACAACACCAGCAGTATCTTTCATACAGTAACTTTCTGGACCAAGAACCTACTCTCCTATCCTCTCACCTAAGGGATGCTTGCTTCTCATCAGTTTGTCTTAGTCAGAAATGGCTTATTGGTGGAACAAGAAACTTCAATAGAGTCTGCTTAAGGATAGAGTGAGCTTACATAATAATCCTCGTTGCAGGAATCAAGATGAGCTTCAAAAACCTTTGTGCAACCTTGCAATTCCAGAACTAAAACATGGCCAGGTGAAGTTCACACTTGGAAAACCGACTGCTGAGATATTGGCTCTTGTTTTTTCTTCCATAGTAGCCAGTAAATATTGAAAATAACCTCTGTTGAATAGTTATAACCAAGTTTCAATTTTGCTCATGGCAGTTCCCCCACCTTCTGAAACTGTTATGCTGCTTCCTTTATTTCCCCCGGTTTGGGTGACCTTAATTAACTTTTCTACAATCGGCACGGGGGCAATAGCCCTGCTGCAGCACTAAGGCAGCTACTGCTCTCAATTCACACCTTCCTTTGTTGCATGTCACAAGTAGAGCTGTTACTAGTACGTCTGTGCTTTGGGAATCTCTCCAGATACTGAGAGAAAATGTGTCAATCATCTTTAATCTTAAAAAAAAAAAAACCCTCTGAAGTGCCACTGTAGTCTTACCTGTTGCAGTATTCAGCATTCTTGCAGGGGAAGACATTTCACCTACAATGTCATATAGGCCTCCCCAGGAGTTGTAATGTTGCTGTACAATGTGAATTAAGTGCCCTTGTCTCTTGTGGCCCTCAAGTCTCACTTTCCACTTGGGGAATCTGGAACTAATCCTCTATTGCCTCCTTTCTACATTTCAATCTCTCTCTCTCTCTCTCTCTCTTTTTTTTTTTTTTGCTTAATTTGTCCCCAAATATCTTTTCCTCACCACCTCCAAACTTCAGGGGGCAAACAGCTTTCTTTTATGAATGAACTTTTATGTATAATAAAGAATATTTATATCAAATATTTCATCCTTTTGAGTCTTCCGTGAACCAGAACATAGAGGGGGATAAGTTGTACTTACATGATTTCTGAGCTGGTTATACAGAATTTAATTTTAAAGGTGTATACCTTTTGAATCATTTATTATAGCAGATAAGTATTCAGGTTTTCATACTCCTGGAAATGAAAGCAGAACCCCATAGCAAGAAACTAACTAATTTTCTAGTTTCTGATATGATACATACCTTTTTAAAATGTCAGTAGCTAGAAAATCTTAAATAGTGCTGTGTTTCTTAACTGATTTGCTTCTGCTCAGCATAGAGCTCAAAATAAGATGGTGTCCACCAGCACCTTTTTTAAGGCACAGAAGGTAAAATGCTTGATCTCCTAAGCCCAGATTTTTGCTTGTGTTGGTTCTGGTCCAGAATAGCTTTAGGTCACAATATCAATTTTATCATTCCTCCAGCTTTAAAAGCAAACATGGAAATCTCAAAATACATTGGGGGCTATTGGGAGGTGGGCTTGCAGCAGCTTAAACCAACTAGCAATGATGCAGAATCTGTTTCCCAGACTTCATTTAATTGAAAGTTGGAGTAGTAAAACCGACACAATCTGAAACCATGAAAAACCAAAGGAGGCTCTGAGAATCAGGCAGCAAAGAAATAGTGAATTGTTTGGGTCCGATATTCTGTGTGAGAAGTTCTTTTTAAAGAGGCTGGAGCAGAGAAGGGACTGTGGCCAGCCTGGAAGTCTTCAGCAACTTCTGTTCAAATTATCAATCTGCTTCCTCCTGTTCCACTCCACAATGAAACAGCCCAGCTCCCAAAAACTCCGAAGAATTACTTCAGTCCAATTAGCAGGAAGTCAGAAGTGAGGTTTCCGCTTTCGACCTGTGTATTTTGTGTCTGCTCTTACGCTCCTGCAGACAAACCATAAAAGAAAACAAAGTAAGAGTGGGCAAAATGCAGGAAGCAGAGATAAGAGGATTTTTGCAAAACTTCAAGTGCTGGGAGGGGGAGGCGGTGGTGGTGAGGAAATCACATTGACAATTTTGGTAACTGACAATTATCAATGTTTTTTGGAAAGGCAAGAGGCACAAATGGGCATAGAAAGTGGTTGGGATTATGGTCACACATAGGAGGAAGCCAGGTCTTTGGGGGGGGGGGGGAGATTTTCTTTTAAGTAGCTTAAATCTAACTTAGTAGAATAGTATGCTCTATCCTTTTGACTTGGTGTAATAGGAATATAACAGAACAGAATAAAAACTTTGCCACTTTAAATGTACACTAATCAGCATACATTAAAATGAAATTTTGTTGCATTCAGCTCTCAAAAAATACCATTATGTATATATTCACATACACATATATGACATAGAAACATCACAGCCTAGTTTGAATGTATACATATACATGGCAAAGACGGCTGGCATAAGGAACAAAGCTGTTACAGAATCTACTAGTTCTGCTATAAATACTTTGAAACCTCCTCCCAGAGGGGAGCAACAGACACAGACTATGAAGTGTGGGGTCTCTAACAATGCTTCAAGCTCTAAGCACATAGCGCTTATAAGTAGTATCCTGAATAACGGGAAGCGAGCTTCCTATAATCTCAGCTGTCCTTACCACTCTCTGTATGGACCTTCTATCTGAGGCACTGCTATTACCAAACCAGTGATGCAGTTTGTTAAAACTCTCTCAATCATGCCTCTGTAAAAAATGGCCAGGACAGAAGGAGAAAGATGTGCTCTCCTCATCTGATGCAACAAATGCAAACGCTAAAAATAATGTATGAAAAGACCAAGTTGGTGGAGTGGGTTGGTGCGCCATATGAATGACTTACTGGGGATTTAATTGTCTCTCTTCTGTCACAAGATCAAGACAATGTCATAGAGAAGTGTTGTAAAAACAAGACTCCTGGCATTTTGTCTCAATGTCCAGTCTGATTTTCATGAGGGTAGCGGAGACAGTCACCAATCCTGACTTTGATCCTGATCATGCTCCAATAGATTCTCAGCCTTTTGGCAAAGATCGAGTTATTTATTTATTTATTTAAAATAATGATCAACAAAGGAAAAGAAACAATACAATACTGCACTTGAAAATTAAGTGCAGTATAGAGTATAAATTGTGTTCATTGTGGCAAAAATGATACCTGGGAGAGGAAAGGGAAATGCTAACCTTTGCAGTAGCAGCTGCTTTTTCCAGAAAACTGGGAAAAATAGACACAGAAAGTCTGACTAAGCCATCTGCTATTAGATGTTGCCAGCACATTTGGCTGCAAAAGAGATTGCAAGGTGAGCCATGTCACGCAAACACAGCTTTCATATCTGTTTCCTGCCTAAAAATGATAGGAAACTACACCAACAATTCTCAGCAATTTTAGTTGGAGGGATCTGTCAAGGTTCCCCAAAAGGGAGGCCATATTTTGCTCTGAGACAACAAGGGCCTATTCTATGGAACAGAAAGAATCTTGCAGAGTTCAAACTTACTTGCCCTGTCGTCGTCGCCGTTCTTTCTTCTCCAACACCCAGTCTCTACTCTTCTTCACTGACTTCCCTTTGGCATTTCTAAACCGGATCCTTGAGAAAAACAAAAATATTATCAATTGTTTACTTTAGTTCAGTGCGAAGTGGCCTCAGAAACAAAAAACAGAATAGAGCAAACAAGCAACACAAAAATTACCACTTTTTCAAAGGTCCTTCAATGGACTTTAAAAGGTCCTTTAAAAGGTCTACCAACAGGTAGAAAACTGTACAAACTGCTGAAAGTCTTTGTCAATTGTCAACTGGGGCAGTAACTGAGACGGTCCCACTTTTAAAGTAGGCTCATCTTGCCTCCGACAGTGAAAATCAGAATAAAGCCTCAGAGTAGTCCATATAGGAAGATGTGATTTTGCTGAAATGACTAGAATTTAAAAAAAAAAAACTTAGTGGAAATGAAGTAACAACATATGGACTTATTGTACAGTATATTACCATAGTTTAAAAGACCAGTGCAACAAATGACAGAAACTATTCCAACCTTATTGAGGAAGGATGTTGGATTTCATTTTTCTAACTCCCAGCCAGTATTGGGAGAAAACTAGATTAGGTAAGATTGGGCTACATATCCACTAATTCATATAATTACCAAATCAGAGCATTTCCATTACCAGCGTGTCAGAGGCAGGAAAACATGACAATTAGGCTATTGATTACCACGACAATGATCCTCTGGCTATTGCTGTTTGTCTCTCCTCCAAGCCATGAAGAGGGTGAGTGTAGCCTTACACAGCTTTAGGGAGGAGGAGACGTTGCTGATTTGCCTATCAAGCCCACATGCCATAGAAGGTATTCCACTGCAAGCAACACTTGCTTTAGACAACTTGCTTATAGGCTCTTGCTTCTCCCCGTATCCTAAAAGGCAAACCACTCTTGTTCTTATTTTGTAGTTTGGGGTCTGGGGTCAAGAGCAATATAATTCAGTCTGAACCACCCTAAACCCAAAGGTCCTCCTGCTTCCAGTTTTGGTCTTGGTACCTTTCACTGGTGAACTTGGCCTCTGTGGTCTCTTCTTCACTGCACTCTGTACCAAGACCCTGCCAAAGCCACAAAATAAAACAATCCATATGAATTTAATTGAAAGAGAAACACCAACCACGAAAAATGCAACCATCAGCCTTACAATGTAGTCCAGACAAGCACACCCCAAAAATACTGGCTCTAACTTTACCTGAAAAGTTACATTAACAGAATCTTGCAAGTCTGAAAGAATTTCTCTCCCACCTCATCTTTACAATCTAAGAAACTAAAGAGGATTCCTTCTGAGGCATTTGACATGTCCACATTCTGAGGACTCAGCTGCCCTTTGTCTGATGGTTATCTAGTCCCAAGGTCATTCTTACATACCCTTTCAGGGAAGTACGCTTAAGGGATCCAGGCAGTGAACTTAAAAGCCACAGACCATCTTAACTGGAGGCTCAGTAACCATGCTTAGCAGAGATCAGATATTGCTTACATGGACCTGTCATTCTCCAGCAAAAAACAACAACATATCTTTTAGTAAATAAAACACTCTTTAATTTGGCAAGAATTGAAAACATGCCTTTCAAAAGACAAGAATTTAGAAATGAGAGAGGTGCCAGAAGAATTAAAGGCCATCCCATCTATCAACAATATTTCTTTGTCCTTCATTGTGGAAAAGAAGTGTTCTAGATTAAAGCAGTTCAATTTTCCTATCAATTTTATTACCTTTGGTAATGCATCAGTTATGCCAGCAAAGAGACAGAGAAAGTATCTGTAAAAAGAAAGAGATAAGCAGCATACCAAACAACACAGGGAAAGAAGGGAATGTTTTAAATAATTTCTCAAAGGTCAAAGGAGCTACCCTACTAAAAGATGGTGCCATCTACTCTAGCACTGACTTTTAGAAACAATCAAAGATCTCCAGAAGAGAGGGTCTTTTTGACTACCTGAAAGTATTGAATAGTGGTCCTTCCTCATCAAATTATTTTCTAAATGATGTGTCAAGAAAAGAGAAATAATGGACTTATTTCAATGAATTGAGCAGCCCTGCAGAACTGCATTAAATGTCTTGGAATGTTCTATGTCCTTAAATTTTGCACAAGAGCTGAGAAGATTTGAACATGTCTGCCATGTCTGATGAAGGTTTTCTCATGAAAAGCGTCTCAAGAGGAGTCTTTACCTAAATATACACAACATATTAAACCATTTAATTCTCACATGAAGTAGTCAATTATCCAAAAACCTGAAGCTATGCATGCACTGAGCTGATTGCAGAGATTCATATCACTCTTGATCCAAAAACTTCATGCAGTGTGCATTGTGCATTGAAGTACCATCCTCCCCCAGATAGCAAAAGACTTACTTTTTGGCTTTGGTACTATTGGGGTAGTCTACTACCATGCCACCTGTGAAACCCGCCTTCATGGCTTGAGTGGTGATGAGCTCCAGCTGCCAAGAGAAAGAACCTCACTGAATCTGAGATGTTCTCTTCTTAGCAATACAGACCTGCCTTGAGGATGGGACGGGCCAGGCTCCTTCTTCCAACAGAACATTCCATACATCCCATATCCTCCTTTATTATTATAAGGAATTTGCCTCTTTTTGGGGGGGGGTTGCTTCTGCACTTCTACTGGGCATTAGGACAGAGATTGGCAAACTTTTCTGTAAAAGGTCAAATCTTCCCCTCCTCTCTTAACACTGGTATAGCTGGCAGATCTGCAAAAGTGTGGCAGGCATTGAAAGGCACCAGCTTGCCAGCAAGGCGGCTGCTGATGGATGCTGCTGCTCAAGACACCCGACTCCTAGCCCTGCATCTTGCCCTGGGAACTCATTGGCTCAGACTTGGCAATCTGCTTTCTGCCCGCCCACCCATGCACCCACTCACTTTGCAAGCTGCATAAAAAAAACATAACAGATTGTAGTTTGCCAGCCTCTAGATTAGAGGATCACAAGCTCAGTTAGAACTACATTGAATCTATGTGAAGAAATGCCCACTTTAATAACTAAATGCGAGTCATCTTAAAGCTAAACATAATAGGAACATCTTTTCCTTACTCTTTTCCTCTCCTTCCCCAAATTTCCTGTACCATTTCCTTTTCCCCCAGAGAACTTTAGAGATTCCCTGCTCTTTAAAACCAAAGAAGTAAAAAAAAAAAAAACCCAAACAAACATCTGGGCATGGCTTCCTCATGTCTCTGCCTCTTATAAGACAGAAGCTGATATTTGTAGGTTATATGCAGGATATACATTAAAAGATGTGAACAATATTGAAACCATGTGAATTCTCCTAAATTATGCTGCAGAGGTATGAAAAACAGTGAGTTACTTAATCTGTTCAAGCAATCAAGATCAGCTCTTGCTAATCTACCCAATACACACACACAAAAAAAAAACTTCCTACATAAATTTACCTTCTTCTACATTCCCCCAGCCCCAAAGCACAAACCTGTTGAGAGTTTTCTGGGTATAACTGTAGAACAGCGCGGGCTCCTCGGGCCTAGAAAACAAAATGTCAGTTGTATATGAGATCTTGCAATCTGGCCATGATCTTACTTATGAGAAATAAATGTTGAAGTGACCTTATTCCTAATACTTCTCAATCTCGGCAACTTTAACATAAGTGGACTTCAACTCCCAGTTTTCCCCAGCTATCATGGCTTGCTGAGGCATTTTCTGAGTTGGGAGTCCACATATCTTAAAAGTTGCTGAAATTGAGAAACACTGCTCTTGCCTCCAAACCTTCTTTGCTAGGGAAGCCTATCCACTAGGACAGCTGCAATTCCCACTTGAGTTCAAGATCAGTCTTCTTACTGATCTGAACACAGAATGAAGACGGAACTCTTTCCCAAGTTTTCTCAGAATAGCGAGTAAAAGGGGGAAAACAGAATCTGTCTGCTTCATCATTTTTCAAGACATTGCAAATATTTCTGAAATTATATTGCTCCCCCTCTCCCCCTCTTACTTTCCTCCCCTCATACTTTATATACAAGCTAGTTGCCAAGCTGTAAAATACACAGATAGGATTTCTTACCTTCCTTAATCATCAACTTTTGGGGGGGCGGGGGGGGAATTAAACAACAGAAAAACTGAAGTTTACCAGAGCAGTATACAGAGTTGAGAAGAATCGATACAGTCGCTTTGGAGGGCTATGAGTTTTCTTATCGGCATTACACAGCCACTGAACTGCAGAAATACTGCAAGAAAATAATTCAAGGCAGTGAATATGATATTTTCCCTATCTTGTAGTCACTGGATATTGGTATTGCTTGTTACAAATTCTTACCTGATACAGCCATCAAATGTTCCAGGTCGGAATGGAATTCCCTGGCCCATATCTGCTAGCATCAGGTCTCCCTCCACTTCTCTCTCCATGGCTACATCTATTTAGAATAAAGAAAACAGGGCAGTGCCATTTCCCAGGCATGAAAGTTTAGCTAAGGAGAGAGCAAAAAAGAGATCTACTCACCAAGCATTGCTGGACTGATGTCCATGCCAACCCAACAGTGCCCTTCCTCAGAGATATAATCACCACTTAAGCCAGAGCCACAACTGATAGGAAAAGCACAGTTAGGATGAATAAACATCTGCTCTCTTTTTCACTAAACAAGACAGGGTGAAGAATCAAGAAATGTTAAACTGCATGAAGATATACTGTGCTACTCAAAAACATCTGCTAAGTTTTTTTTTTTTTTTTGGATCAAAGCAAAGCTACCCTAAATGCAGAACACACTGATTTTAAAATGATATGGTTAACGGGAGAGGGAAAGAACTGCTTTACTTCAAGAATTTACAACTGTTTGAAAGGTGACTTAAATTTACAAACACTCTCCCCCCTCTTATAATTCTATTGATCACACTGTTGAATCAGGGTAATAACCTATTTCATTGATTCCTTGTCCCCAAAATTGCCAATTTCAGGACATAATATGTCAGTATAGGCAAGGCAAACTTTGATTTGGTTATTGATACCACAGTGATATTCTAATACTCAATTTGCATATTTATTTCCATCTGGAGGGACATCAGACAGCATTTATTGGATGATGAACTGCAGCTAAATGGTACAGCACAGTTTGATTGGGAGGGAGGCAACCCAACATTCTATGTTTCAAATTTTAAATATGGAAAAAATCTCAGATTGGTGGTCACAGGGAAGCCATCATTCTACCTTCAACCTCACAGAGATACTTTCAGGGGAATGTAACAATGGACTTAATGGGCCCTGATTCAACACTGAGCATTTAAAGTTAATTGCTGCTCTCCTAAAGAAGGGTTTTTGATATATAGCCAGTCATGCTTTAAGGTGACTTTGAAAATTTAGATATTAAAAGAAGTTTAGAGCTTATATTGATTGGGTGGGCAGGCTATGCAAACATGGTATCACTTCCTAGGAAATACACTTTAAAAATAAACCCATTCCTATTCTGGTAGATTAATCCCTTAAGAATAAGGCAACAAATTTACCCAACATCCAGCAAAAAACATGGACGATTGTCTGGGAGACCCAGCAATTCCACTGCCCGTTCAGACATCTGAGACTGAATCTCAATCATTCGAGAGCTGGAAGATGGAAATTAAATACATGAGTGCCTCAAGGAAAAATATACAGCACAGCATTCCTCTTGAATACTTACAGGAAAATGTAAGCTTCTTTTTAACTCATTCTTGAAATTGCATGAAGATGCTTATGCACAGACAATAAGCAATCTATTCCAAGTACTCAGGAGAAGAAATGGTACATGGTGGTACAGTGGTCAGAATGCAGTATTGCAAGCTAACTCTGCCCACT